CTCTTCCCGGGCGAGGCAGATCAGTCGCCGGCTTCTGGACGGCCGCTCACGCTGGCTGCCGGCCACACACGGTAGCCCATGGCAACCCACTGCCACAGGGGCTGCAGCCTAAGCCGTCGCCGGCGACCCACGGCAGCCCGGCTCCAGGCCGAGCTGCTGCTCAGCATCTCAGCTGTGGAGGGCAGTGTCACTGGCCCTCATATGTGGGATCTGAACCGGGGCCCTCTGGCATCCCAAGCCAGTTCTTAACCAACGAGCCACTCAGCCGGCCCAAACTCATTTTTTTTTTTAAATCAAGTGATAAGGGTGTCAAAAAGAATTCTCAAATTATACAACTAGGGAATTAGCGGAGTGGTACTGCTAAGCTCAATATGAAGGTAGCAGATAAACGGCTGTTTGGGAGGTGCATGATTAGCTTTTCTTATGGCAAGATAATTTATTGAGATATTAATTTGAGTTTTGTTTTCCATAGCATCAGTATTTTTCTCTTCATGCCAAGCCATTGCTGTTCCTCTGATTCAGGGCCCTAAAGCACCCAGGGGGGGATCTCAGTCCTGGCTCTTGTTTTCATCCTTCAGGGACCTAATGCAGGATCTTTCCAATAAAGATGAGGAGAGTGGTCAGGAAGGGTCTCTGAGGAGCTGACATCTAAGCTAATATACCAATGAAAAAAAGTTAGCCACGTGAAGACCAGCAGGAATAGCATTCCAGGTAGAGTGACACTGAGTGCAAAAACCTTAAGTTAAGCTTGGAGGGCTCAAAGAATGAGGAAAAAAAGAAGGAGAGTGGTATCAGAGATAAGGTAAAAGAGGTACACAGGGGTCCAATATGCAGGAATTGGTACCTGAAATTTTGTTCTAGGTACAACAGGAAGCATTTGGAGGATTTTAAGCATGAAACTAACCTGAGGTCACTGCAATAAAAAATATGGAGGAGGGGGAGGGGCGGAGGGTGCAGAAGAGGTGGTAGCAGTGGTGCTCTGGCTGCTGAATGGAGACTGTATTATATTCATTATTTTTGTTTTTCATGAACAACTGATTCCCTGATACTGGAACTGCTTAAAATAGCTTTCTAGTTTTATCAACTTCTTTTTGTTCATGTGAACAGCATTGTTGAGATATAATTCATGTACCATAAAACTCACACTTTTAAAGTATATAATCCAATGATTTTTAGCATATTCACAGAATTGCACAAGCTTCACTGCTATTCAATTTTAGGACATTTCGTTACCACGACAGGAAAAATCATACCCATTAGCAGTCACTCCCGATTCCCCCCACTCCTACCTCAGCCCTATGCAACCCCTGATATACTCATTCATTTTGCCTCTATAGATCTGTCTATTTTGGACATTTCCTATAAATGAATTCATAAAATATGTGGAATTTTATGAATGGCTTCTTTCACTTATGATGTTTTCAAGGCAAGGCTCATTCAGGCTGTAGCATGTACCAGTTCTTCATTCTTCTTTATATTTAGCTGAATAAAATTCCACTGTATAAGTATAGCACATTGGTTTATTCATTTATCAACTGATAAATGGGCTATTTCCACTCTCTATTATGAATCCATCAGCTTTTGACAGTATGTTTTATAAGATGAATACATAAATATAACTCTACTTCCTTCTATCTTTCCATCTCCTATCCTCTTTCAGATACATTCTGCTTTTACACTGCTGTGTTTGACAATATTTACGTTCTCTTCTGTACTTATATTTAGACAGTCTATGTTCTACATGATTCTAAGATTTGAAGACCAATAGTGGCTTACATTTTTATGACTGTAGATACTTTTCATTAGAGAAGAAAGCAGTTACCTGGAATATATGGTGTTCTCTCTCTGTGGGGCTAGTGTCATGACTTGTCAGAGGATGTTTTAGGCATCAATCGTTTTCAAGATCAAATGGATACGCCTTTCTTACACTCTATATATTGATCAATATGGGGTCACATTTACTTTTTTAAAATCGCTCTTAAATTTATTGGGGTGTCATTGCTTAGTAAAATTATATAGGTTTCAAGCGTACATTTCTATAATACACCATCTATATACTGCATTGTGTTCAGAGTCAGTTCTCCTTCCATCTCCATATATTTGACCCCCTTTACACTCTTCTAACACCCCCTTCCACATTTACTTTTTAAAATAAAATTTAGACCATGAATTTTTTTCTCTTGGTGTTTTTAATTGCTTTCCTTTCTCTTTCTTAAAAGAAATGACACATGCCTTATTTCCCATAAATTAGAAGTTAAATAAAATACATAAGAACTGTCATCTTGTTAGTGTTTCTTGATTTGTATATATCCATTTTTTAGGTCCTTTTTCTTAGAGACCACAGATTTCCTACTCTAATTTTGATTGGCAGTTTTCTAGGTCTCTAATAGCTATTATTCCAGGAGTTTTTTTTTTTTTGATTCTTGATAGTTTGAATCCCATGAAGTTTTTCTTGTTTTTCATCCTCACTTTAATGTAGTATGTCCCCAAGTAACCTATTCAAAAAAGTGCATAAGAAATAAAACAGGACTCTGAAAATATCTTGACTGATAACTTGGTTTGCATAAAATTCTAGTCTTGAAGTAATTTTCCCTCTGAACACTGAAAAATGGTGTCCTTGTCTTCTAGTATCCGATATTGCTGGCGAGAGGTTCTGATGTCATCCTGAATGTCATTCCTTTCCTGAGTCACCTGTTGGTCTGTGTTTATCTCTCATTGTTGCAGGTTTTCTCCAGTATCTGGTGACTCTCAAGTTTAAATGAAGAACTGCACTGTGTTTCCCAGAAGCTGGGATGGGTGCTGTCTGCTGCTGGATGTGTGGGTGTTCTCCAGGGTGGGAGGACTGAGAAGGAGCTCTGTGCCCAACATCAGATCTTGGCCTCTGTCTTTGTCCTTTCACTTGTGCGTGAATGAGCAGGTGGCTGGCCTTCCAGCCAAGGGGCCTCCAACAGAATGGAAGGGCTTTAAAGTGGGGCACTAGTACTCCAAGAGCAGTCAGTTTTCCCTTAAGAGTTTATTAAATACCCTCAGACTTTCCTCTTTGGCTGCGTGCTAAATGCCTGCTGCAAGTGGTCTGCATTCTCGGGAACTGAAGACTAGAATGTGGAGGTAGGAGAAGAGTGTGGGGAGCCAAGTGGCCAAATGATAGGGTACACAGACTTCATGGTCCCCCTCTGGCTGTTTCAGTTCTCTCTCTCACCCCTGCCTTCCTTCTCTACCAACTCCAAGCCCAGAGCTTCTCTGGAGGGATTCTGCTTAGCAGGCTGGCCCCTCATCCGCTGAAGCCCTTCCTGTGTATACTGATCCATAGCCCCTTGCTCTGCTTGATCTGTTAACCTGTTTTCATCCTCTCCCCATATTTCCAGAAATTTACTGTAATATCTTCTTCCCAGTTTCCACACTTCGATGGACTTGTTCCTCTTTCTTAAGAAAACAAAACAAAACAACATCAAAAACACCACTAAATTTATATTATTGCCTTTAAGGGACCACAGGATGCCATCTCAAACCAGAGCCTCAGTAGGTTTGTGATGAATTAACTTTCAGAAGTTTCAGTGGACAGTGCAAATAAAAACTGGGTAGAAAACATCATCTGTTCCAAGAGCCTTTAATAGACAACATCTGTCTTATCAGAGGAGCAGAAAGTGGTTATGAAAAACAAGGGAAGAAAACAGAGTGTGGACCAACTGAGAAAGGAAGAGAGTAAGATTCTGAGTAGGAAAAAGTGCAAAAAATGGGGAAGGAGGGTCCTGTTGCCTCAGCAGATGCACAGAGTCTGGGAGGATGTGGATTGTCCTGATCCAAGACATCAGTCCCAGGACACAGCATCTCAGGAGCCGCATCCAATTCAATTCATTTCGGGGGTGGAGGCGCCTCTTAGGATCAGACTGTTGTAGAGGAAACCCCTCAGCATGGCACTCATGGCTCTCTATATCAAGGCTCCATATTATCTTTTGAGTCCTACTGCCCACTCCCCACCACCACCGCCCCAAAATCTTTTACTCTAGCAACACTGAACTTGTTGCTGCTGCTGATACAATCTCTGTTTCCCCATCCACCCTTTGCTGATCCTTTTCTTGCTACCTGGAAAGCCCTCCTGCTATCTTTAAAAAAATCTATTACTGAATTTAAGAGGAGAAAGGTTGGGAGTTGGAAGAGGAAAACTGGCAAAAACAAATACAGCTGCAAAGGACCACGTGATGCTTTGCTTTCATGTAATCCCAGGAATGAAATCGGACATCGACTTGCAATTCTGTTTATATGTAGCCAGGGCTTAATCTCTACCAGTAAAAGCCTTGCGTGCTAGAAATGCCTGCTGGAGTGGAGAAGTAACCTGCCCCCCAACCTGTATGTTCCTCAAGGGGGAGCACTTTCTCTCCCATGAAACAGCTTAGTGGCATATCTTGGAAGAAGTAAGAGCACCCCTGTTTCCTCATCTGTAAAGTATCTCATCTGTCACTTATCTTGCGGGTTTGGGGGCACCTAATGTGATACAGAATACAAAACCACCTGTGAACTCTAAAGTGTCCATGTGATTCTTAAATATATTATTGTGCAGGAAAGAAATTCCATCCCTGTCCCTGCACCCCAGAACCCTCTTCTGTGGCACCTGTCACATCCTGCTTCAAGGAATATTTATTTGTGTGCAGGCACTTCTACTTTAACAACATCTATGCATCCTGAAAATATTCCCTTCTGCAAAATGGCACAGTAAGAATAACAGGCTTATGGGAAAACGGGATTGGGGAAGACCACTCAAAATGTACAGAATTTTGTATCCAACGTCCTAAAAACTCAACAATGTCTGCTAATTCTAATTTAAAACTGCTAGAACACTTAATCCTCATGTCTGTTAATCTTGCCTGTTAATCCTCTGAAGCCTTCGATCTGGGGGCCTTGTCTTTCTTTTTCAATAGGTAGATTGTGGGGATATTCACTTCCAATACAGCCCATTTTAATTACAACTAAAGATCTGATCTAGATGGTGCTTTCTTCATTATTCCACTGTTTTCACATCTGGGGAAATACATGTCTTCACCTGCCCTGAGCCTCCCTAGAAAACAGTACAAACCACCATAGTTCCTAAAATTACAAAACTAGTTATACTTCCACTGAAGTTTCAGGGTTTTTTCTTAAAGCCTGTATCTATTGCTAAATGCATTCATTTTCTATTGCTGCTGTGACAAATTACTGCAAACTTAAAGGCTTAAAAATACAAATTTATTATCCACAGATAAGGTGGTCAGAATTCTAAAATAGGCTCAAATCAAGGTATTGACAGGAATGGTTCTTCTGGAGGCTCTAGGGGAGAAGCTGTTTTCTTGCTCTTTCCAGCTTCTAGAGGCTGCCCGCATTTCCTGGCTCACGGTCCCTTCCTCCACCCTCAAAGCCAGCAATGGCTGGTTGAGTCTTCCTCCCATGGCATCAATCACTCTCACACTCTCCAACCTCCGTCTTTCACTTATAAAGACCATTGTGATTATATTAGGCCACCCAAATAAACCAGGATTATCTCCCCATCTCAAGGCCAGCTGATCAGCAACCTCAATTCTATCTGCAAGTTTAATACCCTCTTGCCATGTAATAAACATATTCACAAATCCTGGGGATTAGGATGTGAATATCTTGGGAGGGACATTATTCTTCCTACTACCCTAAGACTTTTTTCTTTACTTATAAAAAGGCTGCCCCTGATCATATCAAAACATTTACAAGAAAAATGCATATGAACCCACATGGCCTCCCCGTTATATCACTTCCCTACAATCATGTATAAAGTAATTCACATGGAAGGAACACATGCTCTAGCAGAGCAGACTGTGTCTGTTCCTCCCGTTAGAATGTGAACTCCCTGATGGTGGGGGCTCTGTCTTTCTCTTGTATCCCCCACCATACGTTCCACGTTGTAGGTACCCAATGAATAACTATTGAAATGAATTGAATTATTACCAAGTGGACAGATGTCTGCACATCTGAATCAACTCTTTGCATCAAGGATGAAATATAACCCGTTGTCTAAGAAAAGAATTAAGAGGCAAACCTTAGGATAGAAACCCCGTGTACCTTGAGCACAAAGTTATCCTCAGCCTGGAGCTTCAGGTCCATTACCGCCTTCCTCACCACAGCTTCGAAGTGGAGGTCTCTCCTCCGAGGGACATCCAGGGTAGGGAAGAGGTCCCCAATTAGGCCCATGAACACTGGCATGTCATCGGTCACGATCTTGGGGATGTTGAAATCTCGCAGGGAACGCATCAGGACCTGGTCCTCAGGCCGATCGGGGTCCCCTCGCTTCAGGGACCCTGCCACCACCAGCACTGACTTGACAGCCCGCAGGCCCCAGTCGTAGTGATCCTGAGAGAAGGCAGCGGGGTTAGCAGAGAGTTGCTGGGATGCAGAACACCATACGCTCAGGCTGGTGTCTGCAAAATGACAGGGATCACATGAATATTAGGTCACGTTGGAGGCCAAGGCAGAGGCGTAGCAAAGAATGAGGTAGGAGATCGTGATCCCAGGATCCTGGTTCCTAGTCTGGCATAAGTTACTTTTCTAGCTGTGATGGCAACAAAGCAGACATAGAACATACAGGGAACTGGGGGTCTGGCAGATTAAACAGAACCACTTCCAAACCTATCTAGCTACTCCTTGTACATCAAGGAGGGAGCTATGTTAGCTCTTGGAGATGGTGGAGGCTGAGCTTACATGATCCACCTTGGAGGCCTTCGAACTGAGAAAAGGAGTTAAAAAATAGTTCCTTAAAATTTTGTCAAAGGTAGAACTCAGTGGTCACAAGTTCTGATAGTAGATTCTGTGGAAGAGTGGACCACATGGCTATCAGGTCTCAGAGCAGTATGGTGGGGGAAACGGTGGGACAGGCAGCTCACAGCATAGAATCTGAATTCAGATAGATCTAGGTTCAAGTCCCAGCTCTGCTACTTGCTTCATAGCAGGTTGTTATTTAATTAGAGCTGGGATACATGCTACAAAGGACAATTCAGTGTGCAATGAAGACAATGGACATGGTGGCTGTACCCGAACTTGACTGTCTTCCCTCCCCTGAGCCTGTGGACATCCTGTTCCTTCTGGCCTTGACTGAACTTATTTTTCATCTGTGCTTCACTTAATTCCACTCCCTCAGGTCTTCTTTAATGTGGTTTCTTTAGGGCAGTGTGATCCTTAGCCTAGGTACAGCCACCATGTCCTTTGTCTTCACTGTGCACCAAACTCAAAGAAGATCAATGTGGGTACAGCAAGCACAATACGGTGGGGGCTGTGATAGAAGCTTTGGAAGCAGGCAGGAGACAGAGCCCTGCACAGGCTCTTTTGGGAAATGAAAAGGATATTGTTCTTTATCCTAGGAACGGTGAGGAGCATTTTCTTTTTTTTTTATTTTTTATTTTTTTTATTATTATTATTTTTTTAATGGGGAATTGGGGGGATGGGAACAGTGCTGGGGAATTGGGGGAAGGGGAACAGACAAGTTGCTGTCGTTTTGTTCTTCAGTCTAGTTGTGGAGGACG